TTTCATTTGAATTAATCTATCTATTGAGAATAACCCAATAATTCCGTTATTTTTATATAGTAATTACATTATAAATTAATAATGAAAATATCATAAAATTAATTATTTGTTTATGATTATTATGCAATATGATAGTAGTATAGCAATTTCTAAATGATTAGTTCCATTAAATTGTTTTTTCTAATCAATTAAATGCTCTCTCCCCCTCCCTCTCCCTCCCCCTCTCTATATATATATTTGAAACGACACATGGTAACAATTGACATATTTTAATAAAAAATATATTCATAGTATTAGTAAGAGAGATAATTAGAAATGATAAATTTATTCATAATTAATTTTTATTGAATAGTAATTAAGTGCATTGACGGTATTATGGCTATAGACTTACATTTAAAATAATTATGAGAACAAAACTATTTAATTAATTGATAAGACCTTTTTTGAATATATAGACAATTTCAATGTTGTTTCATTCAAATATATTTTTACTAGATGCTTTGGAAAAAAACACAACAACAACCAGAACATAGAAGTATTCTAAAGAGGAAGAATATATATTTGAAAAATTTCAGCGAATAAATTTGAAGTAAATTGAACGTTTCGCCTGACAATCTGATCCAAGTTATTTCAAGGAAAATATAATCAAATAACAAAATTATCGAATATAAATAGGTACCATGGTTCTTCAGTTTATTGTATACTGAATAAGCCATTGTAAACGTTGATTGGATGGCCTATTCAGTATACAATAAACTGAAGAACCATGGTACCTATTTATATTCGATAATTTTGTTGTTTGATTATATTTTCCTTGAAAAAGCTTGGATCAGATTGTCAGGCGAAACGTTCAATTTACTTCAAATTTATTAGCTGAAATTTTACAAATACATATTCTTCTTCTTTTTAATGTCTTACATTAATTCGGCGCCCAAATACTGTGAAACTATTCGATCAAATTTAGACGAACGTTCTTATTTATGTAAATATTATTTTGTGAAAATTGGTGTTTACAATTGGAATTAATCATTGTCTTGTAATATATGCGCTTTCTCAGTTGATTACCTAAAGATTTTCATGTACTTATAATTACTTTCGTCAATGTCTATAGTAGTCGGTAGTAGAATTCAGGATACTTTTGACATCATATTTGGGACCCATTAGCCACTATTCAACGGTTTGGAAAGTTTCATTTAGTCACATCGATGGGATGATATGCACGTTGAACTACCCAAGTCATCATGTATAGGCATACATAATTAAATGACAAATATATATACTTACTATTAAACATTCTGTAGACTACCGATATCAGTTGGTGATATATACTACCAGATCATAAATAATGTCCTTATAATGCAAAATTATTTTGCTTGAATGTTCCGATTGAATAGTTTAGTAGGGTTGTTGGATTGGTGTCTTTGTAGTGGCTTTGCCGCTCAACTGATGCTGAGAAAATGACCTAATTTGACTATTTAGAGGGAATAAAAGAAGTCTTAACAAGGTTTTCGTATGTGAACCTGAGCGAGGATCATTATCATGACCTAAAAATATGTAATGAAACATGTACCTTGCTTTGCGCTGGACTTTATGTATCCTGGCTTAGTAGTATTTACCTTGGACTTCATCGGTTGCTTAATTACTTACGCCTGTTACACCTTATCGAGGAGCATAGGCCGCCCACCACCATTCTCCATTCAACCATGTCCTGGGCAGTCATTTACAGATCTTTCATCCTTTTCATATCTGCTTCTATTTTCCGACGTAATGTGTTGTTTGGCCTTTCTCTTTTCCTCTTCCCTTCATAATTCCAAGTTAACACTTGCCTTGTGATGCAGTTTGATGACTTCCATAATGCATGTCTAATCCACCATCATAATCTTTTCCTAATTTCCTCTTCAGTTAGAATTTGGTTTGTTCTCTCTCACAATAGGCTAATGTTGATGGTATCCAACCAATAGATGTTGAGTACCTTACTTAGTCAATCGTCACCTTTACCTTTACTAACCAAACTTCAATAATTATTATTATGATTATTATTTAAATCAATTCAATCAATTATATAAATATTTTCAACAATTGATACCATTCACTTATTTTCGATTAATATATACATATAAATAATTTATTTATCGAAATATCTTGTGTATATATTTAATGTATCTTATCAAATAGAAATATTATCAGAAGGGGTTTGTGGAGATTTTAGAAATTTTCACAGATTTAAATCATGAGTCAGTTGAAGCTAGACCACCATTGAAAACCTGGAAGCACTGGACGGCCGTTTCGTCCTAGTATGGGACTCCTCAGCAGTGCGCATCCACGATCCCGCACCACGCGAGGCTCGAACCCAGGACCTACTGGCTTCGCGCGCGAGCACTTTCAATGGTGGTCTAGCTTCAACTGACTCATGATTTAAATCTGTGAAAATAGAAATATATTGATGTTTAATGGTATAGAATTAACTCTATGAAATTAAATTCTTCTGGAAGTAATTAAAAAGAAATTTTTCATTATCATATAAAATAAACTTTACAAATATATTTAGATAAATTATGTAATAGTTAATGTAAAATTATTCAAATAACTACATCTATAGTATCAGGGAATAGGTTTTAAAGAGATTGTAGTAATTTCAATAATTGAAATCATGAGTCAATTGAAGCTGGGCCATAATGGAAAATCTAGAAGCACTGGGAGGTTGTTTCATTCTATGATGAGACTCCTTAATGGTAGTGCGCATCCACGACCCTGCTTCGTAAGATTCAAACCCAGGGTTTGTCGATCTCGCGCGCGAGCGATTACTACAATCTCCACAAAACACCTGATATGAATCAACATATGCTGACTAGTGAATAGCTGCATGAGATATTTCCTGCAGTTCTAGTGAGAAGCCATGAACAGTAGAGTTAAACCGGGTCAGTTGTGAGATAGTAACTCAATAAAGACAATGATGGACGGTAGCACAATATCGTGTATTAATTAAAGTTAGACAATAACAATGTTAGATACTGTTCGACTCAGTGGTCTAGCGGTTAAGCGTTTGCGTGCGAGACAGATAGTTTGCGGATTCGAAGCTTGTAAGGCATAATCGTGGATGAGTGCTGCCACTGAGGAGTCCCACAATAAGACGAAACGACCGTCCAGTTCTTCTAGGTTTTTCATGATGACCTAACTTCAATTGGCTCATAATCTCAACTATTGAAATAATTCATGTTTGTTTTTTTTTCTTATTAAAATCTGTCATTTATACACACAACGACTAGAATATCTTGTTTTCAACTTGACATTGATTGTTTATAGAGATCTTGTTCAGTCTGCGATGTACACCATGATTTACAATTATATCCACGTGTCGGTTACGCTAAAAAATGCGATTAACAGACATTTACATCTAAAAATTACCCAGTTCATTGATTAGTAGCGAAAAAAATATTAAGCTGAGTATGCAAATTAAGTTACGGGAGATGAGTGCTATTAACCACTGGGTTCACTATCCATTCTAATTCAAATGAAATAGAAAATCTTGATTATTTGATCTTAACTCATCATTAAGGGTTACAGGTATCATGCTTGCAACGAGATTTACTAACCTAATGTCCATAATTTTAAGCTAATTTTACGTAAATATATTCTATTGTGGTGTATATTACTTATGTTTGAAGATATCAGTAGTATATAACACCAGTCAGTAATGGAATGTTTTCGTGCAGGAGATTAAGAAAATTGAAACGAAGAGAAGGAAGAAGGGAAATTGAGAATACATTTTATAATAGATAATGCGAAAAAGATGTATAAATAATGAGTTTTGATGTATGGTATTTACATTTTACTAATCTACTATATGATTGTACATTAAACAATAAATAGGTCTTCCTTCCCCCCCATAAGCTGTGTACTCGTTCATTACACTGTGAACTATTCCACAGATTTTCAAGTGTATTCTAATCAATAGTTATTTATTGAAAAGCTGATTAAATTATTAAGAATTGATAGGCTAATTGTAAGCAATATTTGGTCATTCTTATTATGTAATCATCTATACTTAATAATATATTATCTAGTCAAAATAATTACCTTCAATACTTCCCGACCATAGCTGCTACCTTGACGCGGCGGTCGGGCTTGCCTATCGTGATGACCCAACCGAGCTATATTGGCTGGAACATATGTTCCTGTAGGTTCTACCATGCCAGGCAGGTCGATTGGAGAACGGTAAGACTAAAAGCAGCAACTCAAGGTCTGAGGGCGAAGTCGTACTGCTGACTGTAGAGGGGTGTGACAGCAGTAAGGTGTTTCTTTCGGACAACCAGCATCTACAGCGATGCTGCCTTCTCACAAGGAAGGGAGAGGTTAGAAAAGGTCGACCCTAAAAATGTCACACCTCACCTTACCTCACGGATTTCCGTCTCCGGCGGTAAGGCCCTGTGAAGAACGGGAATAACATATTAAAAACCTCCCACAAGAAGGCCGTGCGCGACCGGCCTCAAGCATTTGTCCCTTGGGCTCTGCGGTCACTCTCCCAAGTCTTTAAGGCCGACATTAATCCGAATTCCTTTTCAGGTTCCTCAAAAAATACCCTTCCACGGTGTGGGCAGCCGGGAAGTGACAACAGCCCCCCATACCCATAACAGCACACGAGACCAAGTTGGTCGCATTCATATCCTTCCTACACCTCTTAATACCATTCTTATCTCCCCGACTAACCCTTCTTTTGTCCTTTTTTCACCTCGTATCGCTAGGGCAAACGATTCGAGTACGCGCAACGTTATTCCTGGTCTCCTGAAACCACTCTCTAAACTACATATAGGAGCTTTTAGCGTACGAACACTGTGCCAAATAGAACAACAGGCTTCCTTAGCTAAAACGTTAGAATCCCGCGCCATCGATGTGTACTGCGTCTCCGAAACGCGCATACAGGATCCGAGTAGTGACTGACCTTCAATACTTTATTTAAACAAATAAGAAATTCTTAACTCTTTTTTTTCTCATTTAAACAGAATGAAACAATGAAACACGTAAATGTACCAATGAAAAAAATACAATCAATTGAAAAATGTACAATAACTGATAATGAAACTATATTGGATAGAGATTACTATAAAGTGTTTATTGAACAACAAAATAATCAATACAATATACAACATAAAGATGATTCAATAATTTTATTCGATTATGTACTTGATAAATCTAAAATAGATCAAAATAGAAATAACGAATTATCTACTAAATTAAAAGAGAATACTACTTATAAATCATCAGATCAATTGTTAATAAGTCTTACAACAGATGATATGCATGAACCGAATGATGATGATAATAATAATAAAATGAATTCAAATAATATTATATCAGCTATCAAGTCTAAAACACCACCAATAAAGCGTAGAAATACTGCATTTGCTATTAAAGCTAAATCTGCTAAATTAAAACAACCTTTAAATATATTTATACCAGTAAACATTCGATCTCATAATAAATTATCAACAGCAATATCTAAAACCAATGAAACTGATTGTATTCAATTGAAAAAGAAAGTAGAACTTACAACTTTATTTGAAGATGAACAATCATTAAAGAATCAAGACATTACTGCTACTACTACTACTACTACTACTACTACTACTACTACTACTACTACTACTACTACTACTACTACTACTACTACTACTACTACTACTACTACTACTACTACTACTACTACTACTACTTCTATTACTACTGCTACTACTACAAATAATAATAATACACCATCAGATAATTTATCAACATTATTCTATTCATCACTATCTAGATCATCAAGTTTGAATGGAATTAATGAATTAATGAAAAGGCTTTCATCTTCTTCAAATGAATTATACAATTATTCAGACAATGTTTATAATAATAATAATAATAATAATAATAATAATAATAATAATAACAGTCCATTTGAACATCTTAAAAATACTGAGATTAATAATAATTCTTATTTAGAATTATCAACAAATAATGATATAGATTATGTAATTCATCTATTGAAATATATACAAACATTTGAATATCAATTAATGAATGTGATTAATTTAGCAAGAAATACAATTGATCAGAATAATCATTCTATAAATGATGATGATGATGATGTATTAAAATTGACAAATGAGAACTTAAGTAAGTGTGTAGATTGTTTATTTATATCACAGAAGGGTTTTTGTAAATTTAATAGTAATTTCAATGGTTGAGATGATGAGTCAATTGAAGTTAGACCACCATGTAAAATCTGGAAGCACTAGACAGCCGTTTCGTCTTATTGTGGGGCTCCTCAGTGGCACTGCTCATCCACGATCATGCCTCGCAAGATTCGAACCTACAAACCATCAGTCTCGAAAGCGAAAGCTTAACCGCTAGACCACTGAGTCGAACAGTATCCAACATTGTTAATGTCTAACTTTAATTAATACACGATATTGTGCTACCGTCCGTCATTGTCTTCAGTGAATTACTATCTCACAACTGACCCGATTGAACCTCAATGTTCTAGGAAATACCTCTTGAAGCTTTTCACTAATGAGCATATATTGATTCATATCAGAAGGGGTTTTGTGGATATTATTGTAATCTCAGTGGTTAAGATTATTGTTTATTTCCTTTTTAAAATATTATTTTACATGTAAAAATCTCTTTTTTTTTTCATTCGAAGTTTCATTATTTTTGATTTATGAATAAAGTATTAACTTTTCAAAGTTAACAGAAACAGTTTATTAGACAGTATATTAAATTAGATATTTTATACACATAGTTCCTTTTATCATTTTGAATAGAAAAAGAACAAAGATTTTAGCAGAATAGTATGAATTCATTTTATTTCGTTGATTCTCGTTAATTTGTAATTTGGTAATTTCATCTCCTTGAGTAGTAATATATTCCTCTACCTTTAAATATAAAATATCAATTCAAGACTGATCCATATAAACTCTTGAAATAATATTGTTAAACTTACTGATTATGTCACTTATCTTGGAAGTTTTATCAATTCTAGTAAGTTTATATTTGACAGAATGTCGGTTTAGATATGGAAAGCTCGTGTAGGCCTTGTTTACTTGAGTCAATTATGACACAGGAGAGAAGGTTGTCTACTAACAACGAAACAAATATACTTCTCAGCAGTTCATTTTGTTTTTCTTTAACTCTGTCAAACGTGTACTTTAAAAGTAGAGGATTTTCAAAAGCTACTATTGTGGTGTGTGCTACTTATATTGACATAAGCAGTATATGATGTTAGTCATGAACAGAATGTTTGGAAGCAGAGAGACAAGAGGATCGAACAGTAAAGAATGGAAACAAAATGAAATTTGTTTGAAAATGTAAGAACAATGAAGTCTAAGTCATTTTGAGACAATCAATGGACATTTTACGAACTAAGCATTTACTTTATGATTGTTAGATTTTATTAACATGTCCTGTAATTTTGTGTTAAATACATTCGATTGTCCCCACTAGTGTTCTTGTTCACTTTACTAGTATTTTCCCATATATATATATATATATATATATATATATATATATATATATATATATATATATATAATACGTCGGTTATCATAATGTTTTTACACTCTTGCTCAAAAGCCATTTATGTTCAATCATTTATCTAAACTTTGTATATTTGGTGAATTACATCAATGAGATATCCAGTACAATCGATCCAAATTTATTTCACTGAATTATACTCTTTAAATAACATCTTCAAACCCTAATGTTTCCGATTATTGATTATAATCTTACCGCCTTTACCACTACGGGATTTGAATCGACAACTGCATCTCTGTGCTAATGTGGTATGGCAACTTGAACTGATGTACGTACGTACGAAGTTCTACTTTGTTACTGACTGACTGATCTTGTATTCATATGATAGTCACCTTGCATTATAGTGTATTCATTCTATTGTTCTTTATTTTTACCTTTTTTTCTTTCTGATTTCCTTGTACATTATATTTATCTGAGCAACTTTGATGAGTACATGGTAGATACTATTTTCATTGTAAGTAATCAACTTTATTATAAATTTTCTAATTATTTTCTTTTAGATAATGATGACTTATTAACAGGTATTGGTCATATACAAATGTTAATAAATGGCAATCTTACAATGTTACGTAAATTATGTAAAGTTTACTTAGAAACTAATTCAAATATAAAAAAACAACAATCAATCAATTACATTCCATTAAAAAGTGATTTAGAAGGTTATTGGAATTTAATATTATTACAATATAGACGTTTTGAATCACAATTTCCAATATTAATTAATTGGATTTCAAATGATTTTCGTAATGAATTACAAATACTTATTAAAGAATCTCTTGGTGATCTATCTAGTTGTTCATCTGAATTCATTAGTTCTTCATATATGAATAAAGAATGTAAGAAAAACTCTACGAAAAAAACAAATAAAGCTTCATATAAAAAGGTAGGTTATCTATAATATATGCGTTTGTTTTTGTTGCTTGGAAATAAATAATGATGCTGCTGCTGCTGCTGCTGCTGCTGCTGCTGATGATGATGATGATGATGATGATGATGATGATGATGATGATGATGATGATGATAGTATCCAATATCTAGTTGGAACAATCGTTTTAGAAATATAAATAACACCTCTATCGATAAATATACCTTCTTGATGCAAAATCTTGAACACTCTAACGGGTTGTATTAATATAAAAAAGAATGATAAGCCAGCTAAGCGCTCATGAAAGGTCTTTCTCATTTATCGTATGATCATGGAATGAGGTGCCTTAATCTATTCGCGTTATTTTACGCTACATTAAGAGGTGATGTAATATTAGCTTATCGCATCTTAAACAATGATTTTGATATTATTATTATTATTTCTTATCTTCTTCTTCTATCTAGAAAAAGTAATTTAAAACGACACTATCAAGAAGTTTAATAGGCAAGATTAAATCGTTTTTGTTTGAGGATCGTTTCCGGCATCATGTTGTGATTTACTTGAATTCATTTTTTATAAAACACGTTAATAACATTATTTGCTGATAGGTTCAATGAGAGATTATATCTCTATAATAAAAATCATGGAAATAAACATACGTTTCTCAACTGTTTATCCTTTTCAATGGAGAAGGAAGATAGAAAACAATATAGAATTTACCATTATAGGATATTACTTCTTTTTATGAAATGTGAGAACAATATCGTAAAAATTATTGATCATTTATAAAATAAAGTTGTACAAACAATATTGATTTTATCCCTATAAAACATGTTAAGGTTAAGATTTTAAGAAAAATATCCATTTTTGATGTTGGTAATTAGAATTATAGGGAAAAGCATAGAATACAATGGACAGATTGCATACAATTAGATGATTTGGACTTCACAAGTGACCTAGTTCTTCTATCCTATACACATCAACAAATGCAGATGAAGATAACTAGTGTATCAGCAGTCCCTTCATCAATAGGCTTTAACATACACTAAGGAGAAACCAAAATCCTCAAATACAACATGCAAACAAATCCTACTTGATAAAGAAACTCTGGGAGATGTGGAATCTTTCACATACTTAGAAATCATCATCGATGAACAAGGGTGATCCGATGCAGTCGTAAAGGTTAGGATTGGCAAAGCAAGCACAGGATTCCTACAGTTAAAAACATATGGAACTCAAAACAGCTGTCTGTCAACCAATATCAAAGTGAGAATCTTCAATACGAACATCAAGACATTTAATTCTAGTGTACGAAGCTGAAACGTGAAGAACTACTACAACCATCATCAAAAATGTATCAGTATTTATAAATACTTGTCTTCGCAACATACTCAATGTCTATTGACTGGAGACTATCAGCAACAGTTTTCTGTGGGAGAGGACAAATCAACTTCCATCTGAAGAAGAAATTAAGAAAATATGTTAGAAGTGTATAGGGTATAAATTGAGGAAACCACCAAAATGCATCACAACGCACACCCTAACTTGAAATCCTGAAGAGAAGCGAGAATGAAGTAGACCGATGAACACATTGTGTGGAGAATTAGAAGCAAACATCTTATGAATGTATAGTAACTGGTACCAACTGAAAAAGATTATTCGGAACAGAGTGGAATAAACAATATTGATGAGTGATTTATATTCTTCGACGAGGGATAATAGACATTCATAAATAAGTAGCTAAAAAATAAGAGACTAACTAGAAAAAAGTTTATGATTAAAAACGTTTTTTTTCTATTTTCTCAAATAATTACCTTTATACAGATTGAAACCATGAGTCAATTGAAGCTAGACCACTATGGAAAACCTGGAAGCACTGGACGGCTGTTTCGTCTTAGTATGGGACTCCTCAGTGGCAGTGCGCATCCACGATCCTGCCTCGTAAGATTCGAACCCCAGGATCTATCAGTCTCTCGCCAAGCGCTTAACTAACTAGCTTCAATTGACTTATGATTTCAATCTGTGAAATTTCTAAAATCTCCACAAACCCCTTCTGATAATTACCTTTATAATCGATTATTATTTAATAATAAATCAATATTTGTTTGTTTTTTTAAAAATTTTTTTTCCTAATATTATTGAATAAAAGAAATTCTCCAGAATCAATAAAAATCCTGATAAATCTATTGAATTACATAGAACAATTCAACAACGTATTTATAATGCACGTAAACAATTATTAGAAAAACAAAAAACTATTCATGAAAAACATGATCTGACTCTTATTACAAATGAAAATGATACTGGTGATAATTCTAAATGTAAAAATACATATTTTTATACAATTGAATATTAATGAAAAAACATGGTTTAGATATACATTCTACCATATATATATATTCTCTGAAGAAGTGACTTACAATAAGTCACGAAACGTCAGAAAATTTAATTTTCTACTCATTGGGATATTATATATATATATAGTGTCTATGTATATGGATACATCAATAGGCTTCTAAAGTATAAATTCTTTAGTTGTCAACATAAATCAAGTATATATTGTTCATAAATTTGTTTATTTTTCACTTTAGAAATTATTACATGTACAGTACATATCTGTGCATATAATTTTTTGTAAATAAGTTTGATGATATATAATTCATTTCTTCTATTCAAAACTGTTCTATATTGATGATAATGTAATACAGATGAGAAATGGTTTTTTTTTCCTCTTCATGTATCATTTGTCCGTTATATACATAAACAATATTGTACACTATTTCATTTTATCCCTATTTCTTACTTGTCTAATGTCTATAGCAATAGTAGTAGTAGTAGTAGTAGTAGTAGTAATCGCAGTAGTAATAGTAGTGGTGGTGATGGTGGTAATAGTAATAATACTAGTAGTACTGTTTTCAATCTATGTATCCGTGGCAATTAATTTTCTCATTGATTTCAATGTTTATTTTTTTTTGTTTTTTTTTTCAAAAAAATTGAATGAAACTTTTAAATTTATCATCATTATTTAGGATAAAGTAAAAGAATATTCTACAATAGAAATGAAGATTTATCATGTTTTTTTTTAAATGATTTTTTCTTTTTTCTTTTCTTTTCTTTTTTTTTTAAAACAAAAATTATTTTTATCACAATTCTTTTTTTCTTGTGTTGTTTATTTTGATTGGTTAATACATAAATATTTTTCTTTATTTGTCTTTATAAATAAATAGTATTACTTCTATTCATGTGTCTATGCATTGAATAGGTTTATGTCAATGAATTGATCTTAAAGTAATGAACAATGTGATTTTTTGTTTAATACGAATTACATTGTATCTATGATGTTGTAGTATGATTATTAATTTGTGTAGAAATCGCATCCATCATGTTACAATTTTAGATGATTGAAAGAAGGTCTACAGGATGCTATGAATCTAGGTTTCATGTTACTCAGGACTCGTCAGAAAGGGATACTTCGCTGTAACGACTAGCATAGTTCATTGGTAACATTTCAGGCTGTGAAGTTGAGTAGTATGGGTTTGCAGTCCATAAGGAGCATCATTTCCCTAAAAGTTAGAGATATTTCTTGCTAAAGTGTAGTAAATATCACAAAACGTAAGCCTAGAATTAGATGAATATAACACTGGTTACCATTCATTAGTTCATCAGAATAAATATATATTGTAGTGGCCTGCGGATCTGACGCCCAGTTGGACGAACTAATCGATATGACATAAACATTAATCTTCTGTTTGGTTCGGTTTAAGCGGTTATAGTAATAAGGACCTAAATATAGATCAAGTTGGATGAATTTATTTCATATACTAGTTTAATCAGACAGATATTAAAAACGAGAAGCAGGAAAACGAAGCAGAAAAGTAAGTGTACCAACTCCACTTGATATATTGTGTGATGAATGAAGCAATCAATACACACACACACTCTTAAATAAAAATATTAAAGGTTATAAGCGAATATTTAATAAGGTCAAAGGAAAATAAATTAATCGGTGTCCGAAAGTTAGTACAACCCATGTGGGCGGCATATAGTACCAAAAACTAAAATATAGAACCTACAAGCCTGTTTAGCCAAAATGGCTCAGTGGTAATGTCCTTAATATTGGTATTGTGTTGAATAGGTTCACACTGCACGAAGAACACCGTTCTCCTCATAAATGTGGATACGCTTTGGTATCGAGTACTTACCAGAGCAAACCCTGTTTGAACAGCTTACTGTTTTTTTATAGTCCAACCACTGAACAGCACTTGTAAAGATGTTTAATATCTCAAAGGACACTGAAGTATTAGGTTCTCAACTTATAACAAAAACAGTCAGAAATACTTCAGACGTCTCAGATATATTCAAAAGCATGAGTAACATGCAGTGTGATCGAAAGGATGTATAGGAATAGAAAACTCTTGCATTTGTTAAGTTAAAAGATAAATAAAATGAAAATACAAATATTTATTGCAAAAATACTATCTATTAAGGCTTATTTAATCAGTATGGCCTATTGATAAAGCTATGGATAGCTGTATTGATGCTATTTTATTAAATACTTTATGTTTAAAGGTAGTGAACTGTAATCTCACAGTAAGAAAAGGGATTAAATGAAAATGGGAATAGCCAGAAGAAATATATGGGGTAAGGAATACCACTTGTTTGTTTCAACGGGTGTCCGATACTGTTATTATCTTGAACAAATAAAAAATTTTTAAATTTACCACAAGAATATTTGAGATGAATGATGTTTGAATGTGTGTTGAACAGTTGTTAGCTAATAGATTTTTTAAGTATAAAGAGTAATGTTACTTTATAAACTGAATGGGTTCTAGATCAAGTGGTTTAACTAATAAGCACTTCCATTTGAAGATGTGATAGTCTTGAGTTCAATCCTATGTAAGATTGTTAATAGATACTATTGATTTCCCAAAACTACAACTAATAAATAAATCTATTTAAATAATACTATATTCATCATTTTTACAGTGTACACACTAGTTCAAGTACTGTACTATTCAAGTGTTCCAATAAAATCGATAGTTACAAATAATGACTATATTCTAGTCATTAAATGAATGAGTATTATTATCATCAGTTTATTGTATACAACTATGTTTGTTTGATCTTTTTTTATTTTACTAGATCGTTTGTCATAAAGAATAGGTTTACTACGAATTAGATTATTTAACATTGTTGACAATGACTACATATAATACATACATATACATTGTATAGTAATGATTTATTATCTAAAGAATAAACAATGAAAATGAGTTATTTTTACTGTTCAATTGTCATTATGAATTTCATTATGAATTCATACTTTATGATGTTATATTGTTGAATATTGTCAGTTTTTGTATTTCACTTTTAATGAGATTGCCGCTAAGTTAGTTTGTTTGTTTTGATTTATTGTAGACAATTCTCTTTCTCTCTTCCTCTCTAAAACAAAGTTTATCGGTTGTTAAGAGAATATATAATTTACATTGTATGTTTAAACAATTTATGAAGTTTGGTTTTAGTAAAGGATTGATTGAAATTCATAGAGTACTAAATAGTTGTCATATCCTTGTATGCTATTTTTTAGTAGTATGTATTCATGACCTCACTAGAGGACAATATCCATCTTTACTTAAGGCAATATCGAGTGGATACACACAGTATGCATATATACTAGTAAGAGATTGATCAATTGTAATCCTAAACATCAATGGGAAGATTCAAGTAAACAATAATACCAAGTGAATTTAACATTACAGTTTTCCTCTAAAACATGATCATTTTAATGTCAAAAACTCCGCCTGTAGGTCATCTAGAATTACTGCTGGTCCCAAACCCGGGTAAAAGAGGAGGGTTAGGCATGGGGTTAGCCACGTCATACCGTAGAAAACTAACTCGCTAAAAAACGCTGATCACAAAAAATAATTCTAACCATTTAAACTTTGCCTTGGGAGTTAGAACAAGGCTGTCTACTCTCTCCCTTCCTCTTTCTTCTGGTGGTCAACTGGATTATGAAGACCTCGACATCTAAGGGGAAACATGGAATACAATGGACAGCTCAGAACCAATTAGACAACTTGGACCTAGCCCTCCTATCGCATACACACGAACAAATACAGATAAAGACAGTCAGTGTAGCAGCAGCTTCTGCATCAGTAGGCCTCAACATACACGCAAGATACTCAACATCCATTGGCTGGATACCATCAGCAACAGCCTTCTGTGTGAAAGAACAAACCAGATTCCAGCTGAAGAGGAAATTAGGAAAAGACGATGGAAATGGATAGGACATACATTACGCAAATCATCAAACTACATCACGAGACAAGCCCTAACTTGGAATCGTGAAGGGAAGCAGAAAAGAAGAAGGAAAAAGAATACAATACGTCGGGAAATAGAAGCAGAAATGAGAAGGATGAATAGCAGATGGAAAGGATTGCCCAGGACAGGGTTAGATGGAGAATGCTGGTGAGCGGTCTATGCTCTTTCACGAGGAGTAACAGGCGTAAGTAAAGTAAAAACTTAATGTCAAAGTTTCAGTAAAGTAGTTATTATCTAGAGTACGATCTATTTTCTTTTAAATACTCGATTGTGATCTATTCAGTGTATATTTCAAATGAAACATCATCAAAACGTATTTGATGCCTGTAAAAGCAGATTAGGTATAACAATTATAATTAATTAATGATTTTATATATGAGATATAGGCTATTATGAAAAGTTATCAAACATAAACGAATTGTATTTTAAATGGTTAATATTAGTCAGATCAGTACGATCTGATGACTTACTTACTTACGCTTGTTACTCCCAATGGAGCATAGATCGCTGGCCAGCATTCTCCAACCCAATCAGTCCTGGGCCTTCCTTTCTAGTTTTATCCAAGTGTTGTTCATTCTTCTCATGTCTGTCTCCATCTCTCCATGTAATGTGTTCTTTCATCTTCCTATTTTCCTTTGGCTTTGAAAACTTCAGGTGAGGGCTTGCCTTGTAACGTAATTGGGTGCTTTCCTCAATGTATGTCATATCCACTTCCAGTGCTTCCCGATTTCTTCCTCCACTGGGATTTGATTTGTTCTCTCCCACATTAGGTTGTTGTTGATAGTGTCTGGCCAACGGATCCGAAGTATTCTGCTTATACAACTGTTAATAAACACTTGTATATTCTGGATGATGGTTTTTGTAGTTCTGATGACTAATATTTAGTATTTCATTATGTAGTGAAAGAAAACAAAAGTAAGGACAATCGAACATATTAGAATATAAAATTACAAAGCATCTTAGTAAAATCTAAAAACCATAAAATAAATACTTCATTAGTAAAATACCAGTCAATTATCTTAGACTTCACTATTCCTTCATTTCCACACCAATGATTCTTTTGTTCTCATTCTCTTTCCTTTGATTTCCTTAACTTTCTACTATCAGTTTACAGTTAGTTATATAATATACCCTTGTGGGCCAGGGTAATTTTACATTGGTTTTCGGGAGAGTCAGACACTATAGGGACTTTCACGTGACAAATCAAACAGTACATGACAGTCAAACTCGCCAATGTTAGCAACGATGACATGCCTTACAATGTCCCAATGACAATGGCCCTAGGGAACACTGAAAGGAAACCACCAGTATGAATGAAATTGTTTAACCAGCAAGCCAATTTTTTGCATGAACAGTCAGCAAAACTTGCCAAAGCAATGCCGAACCATCCACAATACCAATGGTGAACCTCCAGCCTCATATGAGACTGTAGCGTGGCGTCGAGTCGCAATGGACTATGTACACCGCTACCATGAAGCTAGTTCCTAATGACTCAAAAAAAACCCCGAGAAGCCAAATATCAGAAGGCAGAAAATGGACCAAGTCAAGATTTATTCACTGGTGATCTCGTGGTATCGAAAGGATACCGAGATCGTGCCAGGATGCAAGCTTGGTTACAGAAGGTAACCGAATTCGCGCGAAATTACAATCGAAGTGTGTGAACAAGAATGGAAGCCCAATATAGCTGTCATTAGCAGAGTCAAACAAAAGCACATTAAAACAAACACTGGTACAACTGTTTATAATGATAATTGTTTTTATTAAATCAGTCGTGTTCTCGTGATAAACGTGAGTCACTACAAGACCTTCAGCTCTACATAGTCGGATATTTCACTTTCCATTAATGATACATACTATTTATATCGATCGATATCAGTAGTAAACATCAAAAATTCTACTTATTTTCATATTTCAAGTATCTTAAATCTGAATTATAAGTCTTTTTCTTGATAGTTAAATAATTAATTTATATAGTTACTAAGTGATTCATTAAAAATAAAAGAAGAGAGAAGTAAACATATTCTATGAAATTACTAAAATGTGTATCATATTTTCATGTTGAAACTTGTTTTGTTTTTTTCACATTGTACTGGTTTATTGGTTATGTTTATTACTTTTATAAATTGTTGGTGTTTATTCAATCGATTTATTAAAAGGTCATAGATTATCTCATATATTGTTACTGATCTTTACAAGTTAATCAGTATATGTTTATAGAACAATTTAGTGTATACATATTACTACATTTTATGATAGTCATTATTATAAAGGAACTTGGCTTTCATTATGAGACATCATAACTATTCTAAATGAAGACCTTCTAACTTTCAGGGTAGAGTTTGTATGGTTTGAATTATTTTCGTTTTTGGTTGGCGTTTCTTTTCAAAGAATTAGTTTGTGGTGGTCAGTATTCGATATAAACCTTAACTTCGTATACAATTCGTCTTGATAACCGTTCTGTATAACGCCCCAACAGTATATTAATCAGAAGGCAAATACGAAGTGTTGATTACGTTTATTGCGGGTCCACACACATATATCCAAATGTACAGATACGTTAAACAAACATAGAAGAGTTGTGCCGAAAGGTAAGCAAGCGAGCGAGAGCAAGAGCGTGACGAGAGCGTGTGAGTGAGTGTTGAATATGAATAACATGGACATATATATATATCATGTGAAATGAATGAGTAATCGAATCGAATAAGCGGTTAGCAGTAAGACTAGCAGAGTGAATAAATGCGTAGGCATTCGGCAATATTCAAGCATCCGTATTTCATACAAGCACAAAATAATAAGGGTACAATAAATTGTTATAGTGCGGATGACTTTGTCCGCTAAATAAGTTAGCAAAAAGACTTAACTGAGTTAAATGAGAATAAACCCATTTGCACGTGAGTCGCTATAAGTTTTCTACGGGATGAGATAACTAATCCTATGCCCAACCCTCTTCCTTTACTCGAGCATGGAACCGGCAGTAACTCTAGAAGAGATACAAGTGGATGGAGAGTGCTGGTTGGCGAACTATGTATCCACTCTTTGTGCTCTCCCAAATTCTAATCTTTTGAATCTTTCATGTCCCTTATTTTCTCTCCAAATTTATTTCACTGTATTATACTCCTTGAATAAAATCTTCAAACCCTAATCTTTCCGATTACTGCTTATACTTTTACCGCCTCTACCACTACGGGATTTGAATTGACAACTGCATCTCTGTGCTAATGTGGTATGGCAACTCGAACTGATGTACGTACATACGAAGTTCTACTTTGTTACTGACTGACTATGCTCCTCCACGAGGAGTAACAGGCGTAATTAAGTACTTATAATAAGGTTTATATGAAGTTGGTTGAAGTTTAACCACTTACATTATGAACTTACATATCTATTTACTTACTTCGTAGTGTCATATTTTTTTCTCTTGCAGCTTTTTCCACTGTCTTTGATAGGTCTTCTATGTATTTCTGTTTGTCAGCTCTAATGCTCTTCTTCACTTGTTTGTTTGATTCTGTGTATTCGACTTATGCCATGACTTTCTGTGCTCTTGTTAAGCTGTTGTTACTTGTTGTATGATATGATGAAATGAAAAAGCAAAATTACATTCTTTTAATTGTTGTGATTTTTGTACAACATGACTTCCTTTTGTATCCAATATACTAATTACTCATTGTAGTATTTGTTTTACTTCCTAATGTGGTATTTTATTTGGTAGAATATTAGTTTATTCAGGTGGGATATTTATTCAAGTTACGATATTCATGTATTAAATTAACATGAACTACACTCGGCATGACATGTAGCATGTGATGTTGTTATGACTCTAAGTGTTTTTTATATATGGGATTTCTTCAAAATAGATGTACAACCAATGTATAAATGATTGTATTTTCGACTAGGGTTGTCGTCATGTCTGGGGTTTAATAAATCTTTACTTGTACTAGTTTTGGTATTCTTACTTTGCATTGTAGTAATTACAGTGGTTCTTTGTTATACAACTATAAGTAATAAGTGATTCGGACATAACAGTCAGCGACGACTAGACATAAAAGTTGGCGACGCAGTTATAACAGTTGATGGCTAGTCATCACACTGTCTTCTCGTTCTTCTTTTCTTGACTCCTGCCTAGGGTCCTCGGTCCTTTCTCCATGTCGTCCCATGATATTTTGATACCCGGTGTTGTCTATTCTGACTTTGGCGTTCAGGTCTCACATCAGGGTGGTTAGATCCTTTTCTGAACACAATTGATTGAAGCCTGTCGTAAAACTAATTTTAATCGTCGTCGTTCTTATCATTAGTGGGTGCTTAACACTGGATAATATTCATTGTGTTTCCCTCCTTCTTTGTTTTGAATGATTCTTTGATGATTCTGGATCCATGAGATTCCCACCCAATAAGTGCAGTTTGTGCTTCTTTGGACAGCTTCAGAGCAACTATATGAGCGTGTGGATCATTTTCTTCTTCGTAACCAGAGTATATCAGCATCCCTTTTGATTATAGCATTTTTTGTCCTGCTTGGGTTCAATGGGTTTTACTTAATCCGAGTGTAATAAATTAATAAATATAAATTACTAATCTTGAAAGAAGAGTTCCTATTTCATTTTCATTGGCTGTTTAGATATTCCCAATGGTGTTCTTAGGGCTGTAATTGATCAGTTTCTTTTGGCATAGGTGCATCCTGTGAAAATAGCTTCAATTTTGTCTTAAAATTCACAAGGATTATAAGCAGAAATGAAGTAAACATCAACTTTGAGATTTAGGCTCATCAACTTGAAGAGACCCAAATAGGACATTAGTTTAATGAGATCTATCAAATAAGTTGATATATTGATACTATTGATGAATGTCAAGTTACATTGGTTTCATTTCTTCTGGAGTCCACAACTTCTCTCTGGCTGAAAAAGATCTCATCAGGACTAAATGGCAATCCAGTATTTTTAGGCTCTCAGTAGTAGTCTAACATTGATCAATTCATGATCTCAATAAAAAAATAATGAATCTGATGTCAAACACATTATCTGCTAAAATAATTTATCACTATACAAAATTACCAAACATATTAATTCAGATACTTTTCTTTAAGGTAATAGATTTTGATTTATAAAACCTATTTATGGCTGCTATTAGAACCTTTTAAGCGGTTGAATTAGAAAGATTCCTTTAGTAAAATTGTTTTATTTATCATCCATTTCTTCACTTAAATTAATGACAGTCGCTAGACGGATATTAATGCTTAATAATGATTTAATGATAGAATGAACGGAATGATAGAACTTTTCAGACTTGTTATTTAACTGTTTGCTTAGTATGATGATGGTGTGCTTTGAAGACAACAATTTAAAGTGGAATATTTGCAGATACATTCGACGAGTTTGAAGTGTAGTTATTCAAATTCATTCAGTTATCTTGTAATTGATTAGTATCAATTAGGCAATTGAATATACAAATACAAAATGATTTAAATTATATTTAACTAAATAACATAAGATGCCTAAATCGGTGAATAATTCACATTTTCAACAATAGTACTATGTTACCCAGTTAGTTACAACGTAGGACCAGGCACATATATACATCGGTCTAAGTTGCCATACCTCATTAGCACAGCAAGATGGACATCGGATTTATAAAAGTAGTTAATTCAGAGGTGGTAATATATAAAAGAAAGATTGCAATAAGGACATAGTACAGGAAGAAAGAAAGATATGAATCGATTTTAACCTCATAGTTTAAGGGAAGATAGAGAGTTTATGCACCAACGCCATTGTGATCGATTCTGAGCCATGTCACCCAGAGTCTCCAACCATTGGTTACGAGAGTTACGCGGACCCCAATCAAGTAGTCTGCATCTAACAACATGGCTAAAACTGGAAGTTAATGATTTTCTGGACTGATGCCACGTTTTGGTTTGGCCGCCCCTAACCATGTTACCAAATAATATTTAAACTCATTCTATCCACTTGATTCTCTTAACTGGATTGAGATGATGCATTTTATAATGTATTACTTATCTTAATTGATTTACAATGAAAACACTCTATTAGATTATCGGAAATGCTTTAATACGTATCTGAAATTATAAGTCTGAAATAGTTGATATTATTCAGAAGTATATGTGTGTACTTATAAAAAAGAAAAAGTCTACTCAGAGAGTCGCCACGTAATGCAGCATTTTATAAACTCTACATTGAAATTGCTAATGACCCACTTAATATGTAATGAACGTAAACTTGGTAAAGATGATCAATTTATTGTTTAATATCTTGGTAAAATATGAGAACCATACATTAAATACTTCATTTGCAAACCTTCCATCAATTGTCATTCACATTCTCGATAATTCTCCCAATTCATAAGTCATTTCTATTTCCCTTCTCTTTTTTTCAA